AAAGGTGATGTTGAGATCAAGGAAGAGGATGTTAAGGCTGGGAAAGAGAAGGCAACTGGTCTGTTCAAGCTTATTGAGAACTACCTTGTGGCCAACCCAGATGCCTACAACTAAAACCTTAAATGAAAATATACTGCATGTGCTTTCTCTGTCATTATACTGGTGTGGCTTTCATTTTTCCATTTTCCAGCATCAAATATCATCCCTGCCAGTTCTCACATGAAAATATACTAGCACCTCCAGTTCTCACATTTTCCAGCATCAAATATCATCCCTGCCAATCATCTAATCCTTTCACACTTTCATTCTTTCTTTGATCATTTTCTAAGCTCTCAAATCATTATCTTCATCATGGGTGTCTTCACATACGCAGACGAGTCCACCTCAGTCATCCCCCCACCAAGATTGTTCAAAGCCCTTGTTCTTGAAGCTGACACCCTCATCCCCAAGATTGCTCCCCAAGCAGTTAAAAGTGCTGAAATTGTTGAAGGAGATGGAGGTGTTGGAACCATCAAGAAGATTAGCTTTGGTGAAGGTTGGTTTCTGCCATTGCCTCTTCTAAGTTTAACTTGTTTGCCTAATTAATAACATAAATCTTGAAAGCATTAATCTCTTAATTTCTAATTATAATCCTCATTTTACAGGAAGTCATTACAGCTATGTGAAGCACCGGATCGACGGGCTTGACAAAGATAACTTTGTGTACAGCTACAGTTTGGTTGAAGGAGATGCTCTTTCAGACAAGGTTGAGAAAATCAGTTATGAGATTAAGTTGGTGGCATCTGCTGATGGAGGTTCCATCATAAAGAGCACCAGCAACTACCACACCACAGGTGATGTTGAGATCAAGGAAGAGGATGTTAAGGCTGGGAAAGAGAAGGCAACTGGTCTGTTCAAGCTTATTGAGAACTACCTTGTGGCCAACCCAGATGGTTCCTGCTACGCTATCTGTGGCCGCCAATGCCCAGCAAGTTACTAGTGAGAATTGATAAACACAATTAGCTAGCTAGTTGTTGGGCATAGCGGCTGTGGACAACGTAGCTAGTTGTTTACGCAGATTCTCAGCCTCATTTTAAAGGATTTCAGTACAAAAAAATGGGCAATGATTTCCCCACTCCTATTTTATCCACTTACACTCCTTTTTTTATAAAAAAGGAGTATAAGTGGATAAAATAGGAGAAAAAGGAGTGGGGAAATCACCACTCAAAAAAATATGGTTTTTCACATGTTAGTCAAGATATGAGTTTTGAGTTTTTGATTAGAGGAAACTCCCATTCAAACAGCCAAAACAATTGACTCTGTCTGATTAAAAAAACAGTTTACTATTAGTTGGTAACAATTACTCAAATGAATGTTTTATGTTTTATTGGGACTGAAATTAAGTACAACATTACTCTTCAATCTTAACTCCAAAAGGACCACAAGCAATTTAAGCCTGACAGCATGATATCAGTAAGGCCATTAAGGCTTGCTTGGCTCCATGCTTGGCATAATGTTCGGATTGAAATTGATTCGTTGTTAGTTACTAAATTCTTTCGCTCTCCACATTTGGTCCCTTGGCTTCTACGAGTTGATTGGCAAAATTGCTTGCATCGTCTCCAACACATGTCATTTAAGATTTCTCATATCTTTCGTGAGGGTAATCATGTTGTTGATGCTTTGGCAAATCATGGTGCTTTGGGCTCTGGTTTAATTTGGTGGGATATTGCACCTTCTTTTATTTTGCCTTTTTGTCAATGAGACTGGCTGGGCATGACTAATTACTGGTTCTCCTAGTTTCTTTTGTTTACTCTTTCAGAGTTTTGGTCTCTTAGGTTAGCATGTTGTTGTGCATTTTTGTCATTGTCTTTCTCTTCTGCGGGGTTTGGTTCGGTCCCCCCTGTTGTTCTTGTATCTCTTTTTTGTTTCTTATTAATAAATTATGATCAACGGGACGAGCCGGGGGCTTCCGGAGTGTTGGTCCCCTCTTTAAGGGTGGTGAATGTTTGTGCATCTGATAACCGATAATCCTTTGATTTATTTATACTATGGTGCCACCTCATGTGCCATAATTGATTGTTAGTTGTTGGCTATAAATTTCATATACATCATCTATTTTGGGTAATTGTTAACTTTTACTAAACAGTAGCAAATCTTCTGAAGTTAATTAGACTCAAAATAATTAGTGTTTAAAACTGATATGTTTATTCTGCCCTCAAGGATGAATATATATACTACATACAAAGTAGTTACAAATAGGAAATATGTACAAAATCTCCTAATTCTACTCAAATTAGATAATTACAATAAAATATAAATTATATTCCTAATAGGAATTTTTTTATATTCATAATAGGAACGTTGACTCACCCCAACACTCCCCCTCAAGTTGGTGCATAGACATCAGTAATGCCCAACTTGTCAAGTGAGTCTTTAAATCGGCACTTTGACACGGCATGGGTCAACATATTTGCAAGCTGCTCTAAAGAAGGCACAAAAGTTATAAAAATTAACTTATGCTCCAGCTTCTCCTTAATGAAATGCCGATCAACTTCTACATGCTCAATTCAATCATGTTGCACTGTGTTTTCCCTAAAACTAAATAGATAGAGATAGAGGTAACTTACAAGTGATGTGATGATTCGGCTTGGAGGACCCTCGATGTGAGCATGCCACACTATGAGATATGATGCTCTGTTCTAGGCTAAGACAAAAAATAACCGATGAGGTCGAGAGTACTGGTGTGGTACCAACCTAAGACCCTCCGATGGCAAAGTAAGTTTTGGGGAGAATTCTCTGTTTTAGCACGTATTCATAGCGTAAATCAAGCTGAGAGAGCCAGAGTGTTTTCTAACTCCGTACTCTTTCCACGTGTCATGAGGTGAGTGGTAGGGTCAACTATGGTACAAACACATCAGATTGATAACAATTTCAAATGCAGACTGATTATCACAGTGGAGCTTTGTAGTAGCATTTAGTCTAAACCCAATTTCAACAAGTAACCACCTTAGCCACAGTATTTCACAAACCCCTTGGGCAATCCCTCTGTACTTAGACTCTGCGGAGGACCGAGACACAACTTTTTGCTTCATGCTACGCCACGTAACTAGGTTACCACCAACAAATGTGAAGTAACCTGATGTAGAACATCTATCTGTAATATTCCCCCCATAATCTGCGTCAGTGTAACCTTCTAGATCTAAGTGACCATTTTACTTAAATAATAAACCTCTCCCAGGAGTAGACTTTAAGTAACTCAGAATATGCATCACAGCAGTCATATGATCCTCACTAGGTGAATGCATAAATTGGCTAGCAACGCTTACAGCATAGGCAATATCAGGGCGTGTCAATGATAAATAAATAAATCTCCCAACCAACATTTGGTATCTTTCTCTGTTAGTTGGGACCTGATCCACATAAACACCAAGTTTATGATTCTCAACAATAGGTGTATCAACTGATTTACAGTCAAGCATTCAAGTATCTGCTAACAGATCCATGACATACTTCCTCTGTAAAAGAAATAAGCCATGTTTAGATCGAGTGACTTCCACTCGTAGAAAATATTTCAGACTGCCCAAATCTTTCATCTCAAATTCAGATGCTAAACGTTTCTGTAGTCCCTCGATTTCTACAGTATCATCACTAGTCACAATCATATCATCAACATAAATATTCAACAAAGTCACCTTACCAGCCTTATGTTTAATGAATAGAGTATGATCAGTATTGGCCTATTGGTAACCAAACTTCTTCATAGCTGTGATAAATCTGCCAAACCATGTCCGAGGAGACTGCTTTAACCCGTACAACGCCTTTTTCAATTTGCACACGTTCCCTGTTTAATTGGTAACCCTATACCCTGGTGGAAGACTCATGTACACTTCAACTTCTAGTTCACCATGTAAGAATGCATTTTTTACATCAAATTGCCTCAGGGTCTAATTCAAATTTACTGCTAAGGACAACAAAACTCTGATAGTATTCATCTTAGTCACAGGTGCAAAAGTATCATGATAATCAACTCCATATGTCTGAGTGAACCATTTAGCTACTAATCTTGCCTTGTACCTCTCCACAGTACCATCTGCATTATATTTAAATGTAAACACTCATCTGCATCCTACAGGCTTCGTTCCCTTTGGTAGATCAACAATGTCCTATGTATTATTTTTTTGCAACGCCTCCATTTCAATATTCATGGCTTCAGCCCACTTTGGATCATTAAATGTCTCCTTAACACATGTTGAAATTTTAATATTATCCATTCTGGTCACAAACGTTTTGCACTCAAGAGATAAAGTGTGATCAGACACATAATGGGCAATGGCATATATCGCTTTGCCTTTTGGTAAGTAACGATCAGGTGGAACCCCACGGTTCCGTCTAGGCGGTAAAACATAATAATTATCAGAAGTATGAATAGAAGCACTTACCTCAGGAATATCTATGGGAGCTTGATCAGGTACTATTAGAGAAGCTTCATGGGGGGCAATCAGTTCAGTGACATCAGTTATAATAGCAGGTTCAACTAGTGTAGCAGGTTCGGCATGTGTAGCAGGTTCAACAAGTTCAGTCGGTTTTTCCCTTTGTATCAAACTATCCAATACTACTCCTCATTGTAAATTTAGCCAGTTATGTCCTTCACTACTAGTCTCCTCCTGAAGGACATGCTTAGGTGTATCAGAGAAGAACATTTCATCTTCAATAAAGGTAACATCCATAGAGACATATAGACGTCGGGTTGCAAAATGATAGCTGTAGGGGTCTTTTTGTTCCAGCAGCTTGACGAATGGGCTTGGGTTGCTGTGAGAAGAAAAAGAAACAAAATTCCCCCAGGGCTTAAGTTCAAGAACCAGGCTCCCAAAAGAGTTTTTGAAGAGTTTGATGAAACTTTAGAAAAACACTCTTAGGTTCTTTTCACCAATAGCCAAATAAACGTAAGAAATTGATGAGTGACTTGGCTTGAGAAGCTTGTGGCATGGGAGCTAAGCTTTCACAAGTTTAGCAATTTGAGAGAGAGAAAAGCATGAGTTTCTTACAGAGAACAAAGGTTTCCAGTGGGGCAAGGAAAATTAGGAAGATTTCTATCTTAGAGAAAGAAGAAAAACAACTGAAGAAAAAGATTGGGTGGCTTGACTAAATTTCCAGTTGCTTGACAAAGCTTGGTCAGGCTCTGGATGATGATGTAACTGGGTAGGGGAAGCTCCATTTTATAGGCACAAAGAACCCTAATTTTATCTAACCTCCTTCTCCCTTTTTCGTTGCTTCTTCCCACTCGATCCTATTTTGGTGAAATTTTCCTATCCAAGGCGCATGGGTAAGGAGCCCTTTGGGGTTCCAAGGGTTTTGTGTAGCTGGACCTCCCTATGAGGGTGAGGCGCAACCTGCTTTCTTTCTTGGTTTTCAAAATGGAGCTTATAGTAGAAAAGAAGATGGGTAGAGTCTTTTGTTCGATGGGTATTTTTTCTACATTCATGGATTTCCTTCTGTCCCTGCCATGGCTCTTCATTGACCATCTTGGAGTTCTGAAAAGGGTGAAACAGGATGCCAGATTTTTCACAAGTCGCTGGACTGGGCTTGTATGTACAATATTGAGTTATTAGCATATTATTTCCAGCGTCTAATGGGTTTTTGTCAAGCTGCTGGAAATAGCTTATTTAATTTGGGACATTTTATTGATGTGGGCTTGTCTAAGTATTATAGCAGACTACTAAATGTCCTCCTAAGGCATTGGATCACTTTTTTCCTTTCTCTCATGCTAATCCACGTGTTTGGGCCTGAGGAACAGGCTAGAGTTTTAGTGCTCCCAAGTGACCTAAAACTTTTGTTCCTCAAACCCTCAATGGGCCCTGTGATTGCTTGTTCCTTTCCATACCACAACATTCTTAGCAAGCCCAGGGTAATTACGTGGCTTGGGCCCATTTAAGCTTGTAGCATGACTTGGTATTAGAATGACATCGTGTGTTTATTTAACAAGCTTGTGCTTGGGTTTTA